GCGATTGCCCTGCGGGGCTTCCCAAACCTGAAAAGAATGCAATGAATTCTTCAGGTACAAACCGTTTTTGTAGTTCAGTTATTTACGTATATTTGCATTGCGAATCAGTGCCAGCTTTTGTTGACTCTTTAGTTTTACTAGACAAATTTACGTTCAGTAGTTTGCCTTTCCATACCATTGTCAAAATCAACCGTTAACCAGCCAGCCAATCAACCTGGCGACCAGTCAATTAGCTTAAACATGAACCAACCAACTAGATAGCCAGCCAACTAACCGATTCCTTATCCAGCCAACCAACCAACACATCCGTTATCAGCCAACCAGCCAGCCAACCGATCCGTTAAACAGCCAACCCGTTAACCAGCTAACCAACCAGCTAAACAAATCGTTAAACAGCCTACTCGTTAACCAACCAACCCGTTAACCAGCCAACCCGTTAACCAGCCAACTAATCCATTAGCCCACCAAAGAGCCAACCCGTAAAACAGCCAGGCAACTAACTAACCAGCTAGCCAACCAGCTAACTAGCCAGCCAGCCAAACAACCAACCAACCAGCCCGCCAGCCAACATCATGTGTCGGTCATGTTTCTCAGTCTCACACGATCATTAGGATCACTGATGAGGTTTATACTCCCTCCTCCCCTTTCCCCTTTCCTAAACTCCCGCCTCTGAGCTCCCTTCCATGTGGTCAAGCCATTCAAGTATTCATCTCTTTGGCTTCCTCTTGCTATTTGTTTCACCAGTCTTGCTACTCGTCGACAACTGTTTGAGTAATATCCGTATATTGCCTAGAAATTACGGCTCTTCACCAAGATGACAGACTGGTTTCCTATCTTATCGGGTGTCAGACAGGGATATTTCTTCTCACAATTGCTATTCATTGCTTACTCGGATAGAATAACACAGGAGGCACTGCAGAAATCAATGAACTTGCTTTGTGTGTGTGTGTGTGTGTGTGTGTGTGTGTGTGTGTGTGTGTGTGTGTGTGTGTGTGTGTGTGTGTGTGTGTGCAGATGATCAGTGTCTAATACACCACCAAGCACAGAATATACAGACCATACTGACTCCTTATATCAAGCCTACACAAAGTATGATAATAGAATAAACACAGCCGAAACTGAGGTAATGTGGATAGGTAAGTAAAAGTAAAGATCCCTTTTCATGCCTTAAGGCGCATCGTGCATATGAGAAGAGCACCCATATTTTTACAGATCAATCTGTACTCGGTGGGTAATGTAGTCAGCATTACGCCGGCCGTCTTTACTTCCCCAGGACAGCCATCCTGGTACCCATTTTAGGCTGGGTCGACTTGCGACGCCCCATACCATGATAAAAATCCACGAAGCGAGCAGTGGGTTTCAATCGCGATACGTTTGATTACGAGTCGGACTGGCAACGCCTAAGCCACGGACGCCGCGATGTGGATAGGTATGAAACATAATATATATGTAGTCAAACAAAGACGAGAATTCATATATCTTGGAAGCTTTTTTACGGAGAATCCGAAGAAAGATAGAAGCCAGATTACAGAGACCGAATGCTGTCACCTACCAGTTAGCCCCACTGAATAGACACCAAATGTCTCACTTCCAGCAAAACATCAAATGTTAATAGCATCTTTACTACAAACAACACTAGATGAGACAGGGTAACAATACCAGCATTACAGAGAAAGTTGGAATAAGACAATGTCTTGGTTATACTGACAGACAAAGAATGAAATGGTTCAGCCATCTTTTGAGAATGCAGCCAGGCCAGACTGCATATAAGACATTTTTACAGTAGAACATTTGGGAAGAATGCGAAAGGAAGACCAAGAAAGAGATAAATAAATGGTGTAACTGAAACCTGTAACAACAAAAAAAGATGAACAATTCCATCACTCAAGCCACACGAGAAGCGTAAGACACATACAGAAAACCACACTAGGCTACCACAACCTGGTATCAGTGAGACAACAAAAGAAGAAGACCTGGAAAGTTAATTGTCAAATTTTCACTGGCAGTTGTGGGTTGTCTAGGCAATGTTACTTTCAGTAGTTTGCCATTGCTTTCTACACGGTCAGCTCTTGATACCCTAGTCGAAATCAATGCAAGGTTTTATGCTGCTAAATCGTCTGCAGCTGGAATCAGACCCAGTACCTTGGAACTACGAAGCAGGTTCGCAAGACACAAGCCACATACGCGGATATTTTACCCGTATATGTTTAGATTACATATTATCTCTATATTATCTATTCATCTTTATGTTGCTCATATATCTCAATATTATCTATATATCTATGTATTATATTATAATAACACCTATATATCTTTATATTACCTATATATCTCGTTATTATCTTTATAATGGTTAAATAAACATTTTTCTAAAACTCTGAAGGGCTGTAAAGAATTAAAGTTATAACAATGTCGGTGGGGAAACCAGTTTCATGGTACGATTTATTTGCCCTTTGAACTTAGTCATGTAACAGATTACCTTCGTTTCCTGAGGTTCCAG